AGTTGTTGGCATTAAACAAGACTGGTTGCATGGTAAATGCTCTCATCTCCCCTAATTCCCACTGCATGTCTCTCTTCGGAGGAAGTTGCAGAGCTTCAAGTTTCATTCCGTTTCTTTGAAGGCATAACCGGAAGGAATAGGCCTAAAACTTTCACGGCGTATCCGAGAGTTAAAGGCCTACAACTACCCGATACGCCATGGAAGTTATAGGCCTATAACTACCGGTAACGCCGTGGAAGTTATAGGCCTATAACTACCGGATACGCCGTGGAAGTTACAAGCCTGAACCTCCATGGCCTTTCCGAAAGTTATAGGCCTGTAACCTCCATGTTGTTTCCGACAGTTGTAGGCCTGTAACTTCCACTACGTCTTCCTTGTTTCTGGGAAGTTATAGGCCTATAACATTGACCGCGTCCTCCTCGTTTTCAGAAGTTCGACTCTTTGAGGTTGAAGGTCTGTAATGTTCTTTCACATTTGTGTTGTTCTATTGCACTTGTCGTACGCAGTGTTGCTCCAAGTATGTGTTATAGGCCTATAAGTTTCTCTGACACACTTGGTCGACCATTGTTTTTTCTCCTGCTTCCAATGTGTTGTGCAGCCGTTCGTGGAAGGACTTTCTGAGTTCTTACGGGCAAATTTGGACGAGAAACTTCTTCCTTTAAAGTATGAAGAGGAAGCAGAAAAATCACAAACTCCGACGACGACGACGACGACGGCCACGAAGGGTGGCTCGAAAGCGAGGTTGCAGCGCCCCAAAGATGTGACTTCTCCTCAAACAATTGTCGGATCTTCCGGTAGTCTGGAAAGGGGATCGGGCATAAAGACGATTCCCGGGAAGATTCGCGGGAAGAAAATAGTCACATCGGGTCCGCCTCGTCCGGAAGGGCAAGGGGAGGGGAAGGGAAGGGAAGAGGAACTCCAAGTACCCCAAGATTTCGTGCCGAACGAGTGCACAGAAGAATTGACAAAAACTTGGGAGGAGTTGAAGAGTTTGAAGGAGAAGAAACTTTCACACGAGTCTTTTTACCTGCCGATGAGATGTTTGAAGAGGCCACCCCTGGTGAATGGGAAAAGACCAATGGAGGTGAGAGAGTCGGACGAGGACCATGTGAAGTCTATCATGGACTCCATGTTGAAGCAGCCAACTCGATATCATCTTCCCTTCGTTGGCCTCGTCGACCCTGCCCAGGCCGGGCGCAAAGAAGACGTGAGCTTGACGAAACTGAGAGCCGGCGACTACGACATTTTTGTGCTTGGTGGTGGCCACAGTCGGGAAGCGAGAGCACGCATGAACCCCGACAACGAGGAGTACCAGTACAATGTGTGCTATGTTTACGTTGGCCTCACGATCGATGAGGCGAGGCAGGTTGCCCATAGTCATAACCTTGCGGCGGGTTACCACAGGGACTTGAGCTTCATTGAGAAACTCAGGTGTTGACGCCAAGTCTTTGAGAGCAGGGGTTGCGTCAAGTCGCAAAAAGTGAAGCTCGCTTGCCTGAAAGAAGCAGGGATTCCGAACTCGGCGAAGAAATTGAACGCCCAAGACCCGTTGTTGCAGTGTGCTTTCAAACCCCAAGAGATTTGGGAGCTCATGTGTAAGATCATGAGCATGTGGCAGAAGGGCGAGGTCAAAGGCGAAAAACTGAAGCCGGCTGCGAGGAGCTTCTTGAAAGTGGACCAGGATCTGGAAACGAGCGAGTCCGAGGGCGCGAAGAAAAGCCAGCGTGGGAAGAGGCTTGATAGGGCGGCTGCGAAGGAACAAGAAATTACGCTTATTTATCCACGGGTGCAACTGCAGGGTAACAAGGTCCCCATGGTTGCCCAGGACATGCCAGCGCAACACTGGATAGCCATGGGTAGTATAGCTCTAGAGAACGCCGTCCCTGTCCTCCTTGAGGTCATTGCGAAGCAGATCTCGCTCAAGGAGATGGAGAAGAAGTTCCAACTTGTCAAGCAAATCGCCTACGTCTGCAAAGCATTCGCAATGGGGGTGGGCGCTGCTGACTTCAAGGACGCCGGGAAGGAGTATCCTCTCCACACAAAGAAAGAGATTTTGGAGAAGTTCGTTGGTGGCATCAAAAGGGGTCAGACGAGTATCCCCGCACTGGATGGTCGTATTAAATGGGCCATTGAATGGAAGAACAAGGAGAGGAGACTGCAAGCGACGAACGCTATTCACGCGTTCCGTACGAAACCTCCCGTGGAACAGTTCGTCGAGTGGACGGAGGTGACACACGACAATGACTCGGAGGAAGTGAAAATTATCAATGTCGACATGCGCTTGTTGTCGAAGCTGCAGACAGAAAAGTTGCCGATATCTCTGGCTATTTTCGACTTCCCTTACGGGTTCGCGCACGAGGGCCACGCATCTGATAATGAGTCGTTTTCGGAGTCGGACGTTGTGGAGGTTCTTCACAATCTGAAGGACGTTTCCAGTGCCCCGTTGTGGACAGTTGCGGGATTCTGTTCCGTGGACATGCTTCCTTCCATCTGTTCCCCGTTCCGGGAGGTTTGCAATGCAGGGCAGGAGCTTTTGACGTGGTGCAAGCCTAATGTGACGAATCCGGGTGGGCCACGGCTTGTGAGTGCGACCGAATTCTGCGTGCTCGGCTACTACAGTGAGAGTGGGCAGCGCGAGATGGCGCATTACAATTTTGATCCCACTGATATGCGTCACAATTTCCAGCTCTTCAATGCTGTGACGCAGAAGTACCAGCACCCTCGTGGCGATGTTCTCTGCCCGTACCAGAAGCCGTATACTTTGTACTCCTCTCCCGCAGGGCCCTGCGTTCTGGATGGTTTCTCTTGTTCCGGTACAGGCGCCATAGTGTGCGTCAAGGCAAATCGGAATTGCCTTGAGGTAGAGATAAACACCAAGTGCGCTAAGGGCATCGTCACGAGGCTTCTGACAGACATCGGCGGCACACTTGCGCGCGAAACGCCAAAGCGGAAAGAAAAGGTCGCACAAGGCAGCCCGACCTCTAAGTTGTCTGGGGATACGAAGTCTGGCGGAAATGAACTCGTGCCCGATGAAAACACGGGCACTGCTGCTGGAGTGGCGGACAGCGCTGAGGCTGTCGTTGTCGGGCCGTCAGGTGCGAGTTTGCCAACTGTCGAGGTTGCTGCCGGTCCGTCCGGTGTGGAGCAAACTGTTACCGGTGCTGAACCCGCTTTCGTTCTGTCTCTTCCCGGTGAGGGTAGACCCGTGCCTGCTTCCATGCCTGAGCCCAGCATTGTTCCTGAAGCTAGACCAGAGGCTAAGCTGACCCCTGCGTCCGGGCCTGTTCCCGCTGCTGCAAATGCTCAGCAGAGTGTCTTGAGCCTCGCCATGAGCCAGGAATCGAGCAGGACCACCGTTGGCGGCAGGAAGGGGCGCAAACGAAAGGCAGGCGGTGAAGAGGTGTCGAGTCCGCATGGTGGGGTAGCGTTTGGCCTCAAGGCCAATACTCGCTCACGGACTGCGAAGTGACTGAGGCCACACCGTATCCTTTGGATATAGGCTTATATGTCATGTGGGGACACGCACTTTCGATATAGGCCTATATTGCATGTGTGGCCTCAAACCACACATGCAATTTAGGCCTACATTGCATGTGTGGACACGCGCTTTACATATAGGCCTATATTGCATGTGTGGCCTCAAGTCGCTTTCGTGTTCTGTCGACTCTCCCGTCTCGGTCGCTTCTTCTCCTTCCGCTTGTTCTTTTCACCATGAATAGCCTTAAACCACGGATCGCCTGCGACAATGACAAAAGGTCCAGGAGCTGCCCTTTTTTTGCGAGGAATAATGATTTGCTTGGTACATTCCGGTCAAAGAGCCGAAGCAGGATCGACAACGATCCATGTAGCAAGGATTGCGCCTCTCGCAATTGGTGCGAGAGGAGAAACCAAGCTTTATTCGTTCACGAGTCTCCTATGTGGATTCCTGTGGTTTGTGGTTTTGGAGTAGCCATTCGTTGATGTCGAATAACAATTTGCTTGGTGTGTTCCGGTCAAAGAGCCGAAGCAGGATCGACAACGGTCCATGTAGCAAGGATTGCGCCTCTTGCAATTGGTGCGAGAAGAGAAACCAAGCCGTATTCGTACACGAGACTCCCCTGGTGTGTGCTGCTTTGTCCGCAGCCCTCCCGGGATTGATCGCCGCCCCTGCATTGTCGGAATGTATGCTGCTTTGCCTGGATGCCTCTCCCAGGATTGGTCGTCGTCCCTTCGTGGTTGGAGCTATGTAGTTTGGCACATGGCTTCATTTTCCGCAGAATTATTATTATGTAGAGTAGGCTAGCTTTCTGTTTTTTAGGTCGTGGAAGGGGAAACCATGTGTTCCGCTGTGTATTGTAGCCATTTAGAGGAACGAGGGCACATGGCTTCGTTTTTTTGCAGAATTGTTATTGCGTAGCGTAGGCTAGCTCTTTCCTTTTTAGGTCGTGGAAGTGGGAACCAGTCGCACTCGGTTCGTGGGTCAGACCGCAATAGGTCAACAATTTTGAGAGTGTCATCATTACTGGAAACCATGTGTTCCGTTATACTAGGAACCATGCGTTCCGTTGACAATTTTGAGAGTGTCATCATTACTGTGAACGAGGTCTGGGGAGGTCCACCCAGGGGCACTCGCAATAGGTGTGGTAGTTTTCGGTGCATTGTGGTACTTTAGTTTACACATGGAGTGACTTAGTGGACCATCTCTGGTTTACTTCTTTTGTCGGATTTGGTTAGTTCTTTTGTCGGACTTTTCTCTTTTTCTAAAGGTTAATTTTGATAACCCTCTATTTTTTATTTTAAAGGCTGTTTTTCATAACCCTCTCATTTTCGTTCGTGAGTTCTTTTTCACTTACCTTTGGGTGGACGACCTCTCTCTCTCTCTCTCTCTCTCTCTCTCTCTCTCTCTCTCTCTCTCTCTCTCGCGCGCGCGCGCGCGCAAAAGGTATTTCGGGCTAACAAAACAGTGTTATAGGCCTATAATCACTTCCGTCTTTAATCATTTTCGTCTGTGTCAATCGAGTTAGCAGACAAACACACGCACACAAGGACAAAGTGAGACACACACAGACAGACACAACCACACACACACAGGCACCGACGCACACAACCACACACACAAGAACAGACAGACACACGCACACATACACACAGACACACAGACACACACACACAACTGCGCACACACAGACAGCCACACACACAAACACAGTCACACAAAAACATATAAAGACAGAGGCCTAAAAGTGGTCCCAAAACACCTTTGCCTTGCCTGCCACACTCACACACAGGCACACACATAGACACGAACAACCACGCGCACATAGACACAGATAAACGTATTCGGGGGTTTTCCGAACGCTCAAACATGTTCCGGGACATATTCTCTCAAACCTGAGCGAAGATATTGTTTTCTACTGAACTGGTGTACCTCCCTGGCACAACTTGATTGTATTCTTACTTAAAATAACATATTCTTTTTGCTAAGGGTATTTTTGTGAACTCAAAATTGATGTTCAGTCCTGAAAATTAGTTTTCGAAGATCTTGGTTTTCACCTAGCTGCTTAGTATCAACGGATTGTGATTAACGGGGTCTATGACCAACACGGGTGTGAGTGTGATCGTGAGTGGGTTGTGTGTGGTGTGTGGGAGAGTCTTGGCCAAAGCCTCTGCTGCTTCTCGGTGAAGGGTGGGGGATGATGAGAAAGGGCGGCACAGCTGCTGGCAGGTCTCGGTCTTTGTGTTACGGACGATGAGCTAACGACAAGTGTTTGTGGTCTGTGTTTGAGGTTTTCGCCCTTAGAAAGAAAGGAAAAAAAGAACTCACCACATGCACACACGCACGCACACGGATGTGCATAAACACACACATGATTGGTTGATTGGTTGATTGATTGATTGGTTAGATCCACCAGCCTCAAGTACGCAAACACAGACACGCAAACACAGACACACACACAAACAGAGAGACACACACACAAGAATGCAGGCACACAGACATACACAGACACACACAAACACACACAAATACACAGACATAAAGACACTGGCTTCAAGTGTTGAAAAACTTTTCCAGAACTATTAAAGGCCTTTAATCACTTCCGCCTGCGCCAGTCGTCTTCGTACAAAGACACACGCACACAAGGACACAGTTAGACACACACAGACACACAGACACATACACACACAACGACACACGCACACAGACACGCACACGGACACGGACACATACACACACAGACACATTCAACAACACACGCACACAGACACATACGGACACATTGACATAGTTTGTGTCCGTGTTTGTATGTTTTTTGTGTACCACACACGAACACAGACTCAGCCCGTGCCCGTGTTTTCATGAGCATGCGTTTCTGTGTGTTTATGTCTATTTCCGTGTGTGTGTCTTTGAGTACGTACACTGGCACAGACTAACAACACAAGCACACACACACAAAGTAACATTCCCCATAATTGTTATAGG